AAAAAAAAAAGAATAAAAGTTTATTACACTGCAATGCTATCCAAAAGAAGGGTTATAAAATTTTAGAAATGATTGAAGAATGGACTTATTTATGTTGGACAATGCTACCCTTTCTTTGAAGATAAGAGGCGACTCAGACAGGAAGAAGCCTGAAATCTTTAGGATGTGCTTTAGGAAACTGAGAGTGTATATATTCTGTGTGGACTAGAATCAAGAACATTGATCTATTTGTTGATCCATTGTTGATGCTGTCATCTCCCTGAATATTTTAATACTCTTATTTCCAAGCTTTATGAATATATATGCTTTTCTAAACTCATATTGTTAGGTGCTATTGACAACTATGACTCATAGTAATGCTATGAACCACAGATCTGAACCTTGATTTATCTTGCAACATCATTACAATCTCCTTCATGCTCAAAACTATTGTTTTATTTACTGTGTCAATCTATCTTCTTGAAGATTGACTTCACTTTGACTGATCCTCTGCCTTTCCTAGCATGATGCCTTTTTCTAAGGACTGACTCCTGACAACATGCCCAAAGTATGTGAGATCAATTTTCACAATCTTGTTTTGTTTTGTTTTTAGGAGTTTGTGTGAGTTTTTACGGTTGTTGATGTTGGGTTTTTTTTAAATTGAGATTTTAATGAAAATTTATAGAGACTTTAGATTTCCATTCATTCATTTTTGTACATTTTCTTCCCTGCCTATCCCTCCCCCCAGTTGGCTTTTCTCTTTAAAAAGAAAAAAATATTCTTTCATTGTTATACAATCTCACCCCACCCAGTCCACTTCACTATGCAGCTCTTATTCTGGACTCTTGTCGTGAAAATTATACTTAATCATATATTCCTTTTAAGCAGTTCTCTCCCTCACCTGTTTCAAGGCACTGTACATTATTTATCCCCTTTTCTTAGTTTTCCCCAACCCAGATGTCAGTCCCATTTTACAACAGTAGCATTATGCACTATCTGTCCTTTTATTACAGATATTTCACTCAACATAATGTCCTCTATGGTAAATGATTTTGTATAATATTTCATGAGTTCTTTGTTTTTCAATGCAGTATAGTATTATTCCATTGTGTGAATATACCACCATATTTCTCTATCCAGTCGTTTGTTTACGGGCACTTACGGTGTTTCCACCTCTTCGCTATTGTGAACAAAGCCGCAATAAACAGGGTGTGCATTTATCTGCTTGGGTGGCAGTTCCGGATTCTTTAGGGTATATTCCCAGTAGTGAATTACTGGGTCAAATGGTGTTTCTATTTCCAACTTTTTGAGAAAGCACCATACCATTTTCCATAGTGGCTGCAACATTTTACACTTCCACCGACAGGGAATAAGTGTTCCAGTTTCTCCACAACCTTGCCAGTATTTTCTATTTGTTGCTCTTTTGAATTTTGTTATTGTCACCACTGTGAAATGATATATCATAGTTGTTTTGATTTGCATCTCTCTTAGAGCTAGGAATTTTGAACATTTCTTCATGTGTTTGTTCACCATCTGAATGTTTTCTTTGGTGAAGTGTGTTCATATCTTGTGACCATTTTTCAATTGGGTTGTTTATCTTGTTGGTGCTCGTGTAGTCTATAAATTCTAGATGTAAGTCCCTTATCAGACACATCATTAACAAATATTTTTCCCCCGGTATGTTGCTTTCCTTTTTACCCTATTGGAGAACATATTTTGATGTGCATAGGGATTTGATTCTTACAAGTTCCCATTCATCTATTTTATCCTCTCCTCGTAGGTTTTTCAGAATGTTTGGAAGACTGTCATGTTGTGGATTAGGGCTTCCAGAGTTCTTCCAAGCTTTTCTCTCATGAAATTTATAGTCTTTGGTTTTAGTTCTAGGTCTTTGATCAACTTTGAATTGGGTCTTGTGTATGGAGTCAGGTGTAGGTCTTGCTTGAATATTCTGCAGATAGTTTTCCAAACTTGTCACCACCATTTGTTTAAAAAGCTGTCATTCCCCACTTAACTGATTTCATCTCCTTGTCAAAAATCAGAAGTCCATGGGTAGATGGTCTGATTCCTGGGTTCTCAATCCTATTCCATTGATTTATGTGTCTGTCATTATACCAGTACCACACTGTCTTGACTACCACAGCAGTGTAGTAGGATTTGAAATCAGGGCGTGAGATGCCTCCTACCTTGTTTTTTAAAAATAAGGAGTGTTTTGATTATTCTGGGGCTCTTTCCATTCCAAATAAAATTGGAGATTGCCTTTTCCATCTCATTGAAGAATGGAATTGGTATTTGTATTGGAATTGCAATGAACATGTAAATTGCCTTTGGTAGTATTGTCATTTTCACAATATTGAGTCTTTCCATCCAAGAGCAAAGTAATTCTTTTCCATTTCTCCAGGTCTCTTTTTAGTTCTTGTAGTAGTTTTGTAATTTTCTTTGAATAGGTCTTTTGTGTTTCTAGTTAGATTTACTCCCAAGTATTTAATCTTGTGATTAGCTATTTTGATGAGCATTTCTGTGTTCTCTTTGTCACTGTATAGAAACTCAATTGATTTTTGTATGTTGATCTTGTGACCTGCCACTTTGCTGAATTGTTCAACTATGTCCAGTAGTTTTCTTGTCGAGTCTTTAGGGTATTTTAAGTATACTATCATATCATCTTCATATAGAGATTATTTTAACTCCTCTTTGCCAATTTGGATACTCTTATTTCCTTCTCTTGTCTTCTTGCTATTGTTAAGACTTCAAATACAATATTGAATAGAAGAGATGATAGTGGGCATCCTTGTCTAGTTCCTGTTCTCAAAGGAAATTCCTTTACTCTCTCTCCATTGAGAACAATGTTGGTTCTTGGATTTGTGTGTATACTTTTTACTATGTTGAGGAAATTCTCCTCTATTCCTATTTTGTTGAGTGTTTTAATCAGGAAAGGGTGTTGGATTTTGTCAAAGTCCTTTTCTGCATTAATTGATAGGATCATATGGTTCTTGTTCTTTGCTTTGTTAATATGAGGAAGTATACTGATTGTTTTTGTTTTGATGAAATATCCTTGCATACCTGTTATGAATTCCACTTGGTCCTGGTGAATTAGTTTTGATGTATTGTTGGGTTCCATTGGCCAATATTTTATTCAGGATGTTTTTATCCATGTTCATGAGAGAGGTAGGCCTATAGTTTTCTATTTTGGTTGTGTCCTTACCTAATTTTTGTATCAAGAATATGTTTGCTTCATAGAATGAGTCTGGGAGAATGCCATCTTCTGCTGTTTTTTTAACATACACTATGTAGAGTTGGTGATAGTTCTTCTCTGAATGTTTGATAAAATTCAATTATAAAACCATCTGGTCCCTTTTTATGGATGAAAGTTGTTTTATTACCTTTTCAGTTTCTTCTTTTGTAACGTGTCTGCTCAAGGGTTCAATTTCAGTTTGTATCAGTTTAGATAGGTTGTGATTTTCACAGTATTTGTGCATTTCTTCGAGGTTTTCATATTTGACTATAGTTTTTGCTAATATTTCATTTTTAACCTCTTTATTTTAGTTGATTCTGTTGTGACATTGCCTATTTCATCTTTTATTCAGATTATTTGTGTCTTTTCCTTTGTCAATTTTTCTAGTGATTTGTCGATTTTATTGACCTTTTCGAAGAACCGATTCCTGGTTGTTTTATGGTTTCAATAGTTTTTCTATTTGCCCTAAATTTTATAATTTCAGGCTTTTTTTAGAGGGTGTTAGGTTTTCTTGCTGTTCTTTTTCAATTTGTTGGAGATGTTGAGTTAGGGTCAATGGTCATTTTTTCCTGCCTTTTGATGTGTTTGTTTATTGCTATAAATTAACCTCTGATTACTGCTTTGGCTGTTTCCCAGAGGTTTTGGTGAGTTGTGTTTTCATTGTCATTTGTTTCAAGAAACTTTTTTCTTCTATTTTTTGTATTTTCTAGTACCCAATCATGTTCAAGCAAGGTGTTGTTCAGCTTCCAAATGTATGGTGTTTTTTTTTCTCACCTTTATTCTCTTGTTATTAATTTCTAATTTTGTAGCATTGTTGTCTAAGAAGATGCTTTGTAGTATTTCTATGTTTTTGGTTTGGGTTTTTTTTTATTTATTTATTGATGCTTGCCTTGTGACCTAAAATGTGATCTGTTCTGGAGAATGTTCCAAGCACTTTGGAGAAGAAGGTGTACTGTGCTCTTTTGGGCTGCATTAACCTATCAATATCTAGGAGATCAAGTCGGTTTATTGTATGGTTTAATTCTTCAACATCTTTTTTAGTATCTTTCTGGTTTTTCTATCTATTCTCGAGAGTGGTATATTGACATCTACTACTTATATATTTTCTTTTTCAGTTTTGTTAATTTTTTTTATATATTTTGCAGGTCTCTTTTGGTGCATAGATATTTATTATTGTTATGTCCTCTTGTTCTATTGACCCTTTAAGCATTATGTAGTGACCTTCCGTGTCCTTTGTGACAGATTTTGCTTTGAAATTTATGTTATCAGAGATTAATTTCGCTATTCCTGCTTTTTCTGGTTGTCATTTGCTTAGTATATTTTCCCTCACCCTTTTAATTTCAGTCTTTATCTTCATTTTTCAGATGTGTCCCTTGTAGACACATATTGATGGATTTTCTTTTTTTATATAATCTGTTATTCTTTTTATCTTCAGTGGTGCATTTAAATAATTCATATTCAATGTGATTATTGAGAGGCAAGGTTTTT